TAGAGATTGAGTTATAAGTTAAGGAAGTTACGGTTAGGGGTTTGAGGTTTTGGATTTTAGGGTTTAGGGAAATCTTTCCTCGTAAATTCCACGTAAACAAAAACACAGGCCTGGTTAATTCCACGTAAGACATATTTTCTCGTGAATTTCACGTAAACAAAAAACACAGGATTGGTTAATTCCACGTGTAACATTTCCTCGTAAATTCCTCATGGCAGCCGAAAAAGCGGGCCTAGTTAAATCCTCGCAAATAAAAAGACGAGTCTAGTTAAGCACTCGTTACTTCACAAGTACTTAACGAGGAAAAAAACGCAAACCTGGTTAATTCCTCGTAAGCTTAACAAGTATTTTACGAGGAAAAAATGTGGACCTGGTTAATTCCTCGTAATGTTACGAGCTGTTTACGAGGAAATATAATTTTTTATATAAGCTCGAGCCACCCCACTTTCCTCATTCGTAGTAACTTTTTCTCTATCTCCTCTCAAGGTGTTCCTCTCTACTTCATTCTTTGTCAAGATGGCAGCTAAATTGTTGGTGGAAGCAACATGGAAAGTATTGATGAATCCCAACTTGAGTTGATCACGAATAGTATGGCAGTAAGGTTTAACATGTTTAGTGTGCTCGTGAAAGACTGGGTTGGAAGCATGATGTAGAACAAACCTGTTGCACAGTTACAAGTAACAAGAAGCCTGACTTGTACTTTAAACGCACGGAGTAGCTGATATAACCAGAGCAAATCACAAGTCAGATTGGCTAGACTTATGTATTCAGCTTCAGTGCTGCTGCTACGGTTAACGACTCCTTGTTTCTTGGATTTTGAGATCCACCAAGGAAAACATAGTAACTAGAAACCACCAGTTATCGCCTAACAACAGTACTACTACTAGTAACGGGAATTAGCACATTCAGAAATGGATGTACACGTATACACATCTCTCATCTCAGAACACAAGTCCCTCAACACTTGCAACATGTGATAATGCTCATGGTGGCTCAGATCCTCCATGAGAAATGTTCTAAGCTGTCCATTCACCTCAATCACACTGTACCCTGGCACTTTCTCCGTGGTCCCACTTCTCAATAACTTCCTCACTTTAGCCACTTCCTTCCACTTTTTGGCAGTGGCAAAGAAGTTACACACCAGTGTTTGGATTCCAGTGTTATTCGGATTCAATTCTAGAATCCTATTAGCAGCTATCTCACCAACTGATAGATTCCTATGGTTAATGCATCCTGAAAGAAGAGCAACCCAAATGGGCAGAGCATTATCAAGTTTCTCAGAGTTTATCATGTCAAGAGCGTCTTCCACTCTCCCTGAACGTGCAAGAAGATCAATCAAACAAACGTAATGTTTTTCGCTCGGTTGTATATTATATCTGTTTCTCATGGCGCTGAACCAATGCTGGCCTTGTTCTACTAGACCTAAGTGGCTAAAAGCAGAGAAAAGAGAAGCAAAAGTGGCGTGGTCAGGTTCTATATCTGATTCCGTCATATTCACGAACATGGAAACAACTTCTTCACCGTCTCCATGGATACCGTAACAAGATATCATTGTGTTAGAACAAACCAAGTCTTTCCTTCTTGTCTGATTAAAGATTTCTCTCGAACTTGCAATAACGCCGCATTTTGAGTACATGTCCATCAAAGCAGTTGCGGTTACTCGGTCAAGAAAGTGCCTTCTCAAGATGTAACAATGTATAGACCTACCAGTCTTTAACGATCCGACTTGCGAACAAGCCAAGAGTACTCCAACAAGAGCCACAAGATCCGGTTGAAACCCAAGGCTCTGCATCTCTACTACTGCTTCAAAGGCTTCACTGGCTAACCCATTTTGAGCAAATCCAGAGATCAACGACCCCCACGACACCGCAGTTTTAAACATCATCCTACTGAACAACCTGGAAGCAACCTCTAAAACCCCAACCTTTACATACATATCAACCAATGTGGTTTCAACTACAACATTCATAGGAAGACCTGTTCTAATCAAATAACCATGTACAGAACAGCCCATTTTCTGATCTCCAAGATCAGCAGAAGCTTGTAAGAGACCAAGCATCACAACCCCATCTCTACCAAACCCTTCCCTTTGCATTCCTCTGTAGAACTCAACAGCCNTAATCAAATAACCATGTACAGAACAGCCCATTTTCTGATCTCCAAGATCAGCAGAAGCTTGTAAGAGACCAAGCATCACAACCCCATCTCTACCAAACCCTTCCCTTTGCATTCCTCTGTAGAACTCAACAGCCTTCAGCGACTTACCAGCTTGTGCAAACCCTGTCACCATTGTTGTCCAACAAACAAGATCCTTTCTGGTCATCTTTCGGAACAGAACTTCAGCTTCCTCAGTCTTCCCGCACTTCATGTACAGATTCAACACAGATGAACAAACAAAGACATCATTTTCATACCCACATTCCATAGCTTTACACCACACTGTCTCTCCTTTCTCCAGAGCCATAGCATTTAAGCATGCCCTGATCGTCATAGTGAAGGTCGAGCTATCTGGTCGAACACCTTCATCTATCATCTCATCGTAAAGACGCAGAACCTCGTCTGGTTTGTTTCCACGGGAATAAGCCACAACCATGGAATTGTAAGTAGATACATTTCTCTGAGGAAATTCGTCGAACACCTTACGGGCATGTGAGATCTCGCCGATTCGTACAAAAGAAGTAATGAAGTCGCGAGCGATGGAGCTTCCATGGAGTAAGTTACCGGTAGTGATTGCGAAAGCGTGGATCTGACTGATGTGACGCTTGTGTTTAGAAGCTGATAGCAGGAAATTGAGGCGTCTCGGACACAGAAGAGTCCGATGTAACATGCAGACAAGTTTGTTTTTTTTTTTTGTTATCTTCGAGACCAAAACCAGACAGACTCTTCAGACCAATTCGAACCAAAACGTAGATCCGAAGTCTCGTGTTGGTTTATAAGATTGTATGCGATCCAATTTCAAACCAATACGAACCGGACTGTAAAAGCATTTATACCGATGACAAATTGACAACCGAGTAGTAGTTGCAGTCTGGCAGAGGAGAGACTCTATGGGTTATTGGTTTATAGATTTTTTTTTTGTTAAAATTGAGTTATAAATCTAATTATATAAAGTAGACTAAATCATGTATTATTAAAGTTGTGATTTAAAATATTTTTATTTTTTTCCGTCTAATATTTTAATAATCAAATGCTTGTCAGATTTTAAAATACTAGGTGTTTCATTTTACTAATATATATTACTTGCATTATTTATTCAAAAAATCTGCATTAGATTATTTATATATAATACTTTTCATGAAAACACTCATGTATTATTGATATTTTTAGAAAATCTGCTTTTATTGTGTTAATGTTTTTTTTTTGTAAATACTCATGTATATCTATACTATCAGTGCTTAATCATTCGTAGTCCTATTTTAAATTTTTATTTTTTATTAGAGACTCTCCTGGACTACTCGGTTTCAACAAATCAAAATTTGTTTTAATTTCATATCCAAAATATACATATGGAATAGTGAGGAAAAGTTTGAAATGGATGAAAACTTAATTAAACTTTAGTTATGATAAAATTACTTTTTATCTTTTATATTTGGTTTCTCGTGAAAATAAATTGTTAGTTACATTTGATTCAAATTTTGTTTTTGGTTTTATAATCAATTGGTGTCATTTTACTAAGAATTAAGTATTTATTTAATGATATTTAGAGAATATGTTCTTAGAATCTATTGGGTTGATGTTTACACTGGTTGTTTAATGACTGCTGTCCATCGTAGAACAACCCTCAAACCATGAGTGTTGGTATCAACATATGTTCAGCCGCCATTGACGACAAACCCTCATACTCGAAACCAAAGGGTACGAAAGCCAAATAAGATTAATGTACATCTAGCTCTATTAGATATATATAACAACGCCTTTGACCAAAAAAAAAAAAGATATATATAACAACGCCATATCAGATTTACAACCTTAATCTCTATTGTAGAAATATAGGGTTTTTTTTTTAACTTCCTTTATCAAACACTATTAAAAGGTCTAAATAGAGGTTTTTCACATTGTCCACGTTTGCAAATTTATTTAGCCAATAATAATGCTCTATTCGGCCACGTCAAAATCGGTTTATTCATTGAAAATCATGTTTGGCTTTTGGTACGAAATTGATTTTGGGTTATTTCTGGTTTATTCCTCTCTTCTCATTTCGTCTCTTCCGTTTGATCGACTTATCAACCCACTCCCTGAATAATCAATCCTTTGTTTCATTGCATTCAATCATTTCTTCATTCTCATTCAATGGGATCCTCTTTTCACCTTCCTCGACAATGTTCTATTTATAGATCTCTCCTATCAGCTTCTCTGTTCATCAAACTGTTAAGACTTTCTACTCTCTCTCATAGTCGTTGCGATGGATCCGAGTTCCAAACCTTCATTCCCCACCGGCGAGAACACCAAAAAGAAGTTCGTCCCATCCTCTGCGAAAGCTCAACGAGACGGGAAATCTTCTGATTCCTCCGCCATTGCCTTCAAGCCTCACGGCAAGGCTGCTGTATACTCTCCCACTCCGGTGACACCAAAAGTTGCTCCAGCTCTCCAGACCCCGATTTCCGATCAAGTGTTGTACTTCAGGGATGTTTCTCTCGGCCCTCATGAAGCCTCTTTGAGGTTTCGGCTGATTCACGTCTGGAAGGTTAGAAATCCGATATCGAAAAATCTAATTGGACAGGAGATGCTCCTAATTGGACAGGCGTGATGATGTAGAACTCCTTGAGATCCAATGGTAGAAAACGTTGAAAGAAATTAAAACTTACCAAGATATTTTTTTTTGTTTTTTACTGTAGGTGGGGACGGTGGAGGCGAGGTGGCTGGAGTAGGAGAAGGTGCAGGTGAGGAAGCAGGTGCAGAAGGAGGAGCTGTTGCTTGCACATAAGATTGTTGGTTTGGTTGATGCATCATAACATACAGCGCAGGGAATTGTGGTTGAGGTAAAGCTTCTTTTTTTCTGAATGACACAGTCCAGCTGTTTCAACTGCAGCTCTACAATGCCTCTAGAATCCACAAGCCTGCAGAAATGGAGGTAAGAGTATTCAATCATGGACGATTACACGTTTAAGTGACAGAACAGGGACAATTGTTACTTACTTGACAAGAGTTGTAACTTGGGTCAGGAACTCAGAGATAGACTCCTCTGTAGCTAAATCAGATGCCTTGGTTATGAAGAATCATATGCCTGCACTGATTCTCATCTATGTGATCTGGAATCTGGGGAAGCTGCTGTATGGGGGGATGAAAGATTCCTTTAGCGAGGCTGAAAATTTTATAGAGATTGCCATCCAGAAACAAAAGGAGCAGTTGTTTGCAGAGGTAATTTTTCTTATAGTTAAGCCGCACGACTGAGACTAATTAATAAATGCATTTTTCCTAAACAAATACTCTGTATGTGTGCTATTACAGCTTAACAGAATCGATGTGCAAATGATGCGGAGTGTTACTAGGGTGCAGAAATCAGAGGTAAAGCTTTGACCTTTTTCCTCCAATGATGATTAGATAGTACTGTTACCGCTGGTGAAGTCCTACATGCGGGTAAGTATCTGACTCCATGTGCACCAACCTTTAAAGGCATGAGGAAAGTCCAAAAACAAATAAATCTTTTCTTCTGTAATACGTTCTGATTTTCTTCATTTACCTTTCTTTTTTTAAATCTTTTCTAGCTGATATGATTAGTCAAATACAAGAGTTCATCAATATTTACCTGCTTTTTATTCTCAGATGGCGTATGAACTCCATGGTTTCCTGGCTGGAAATGTCAGCATCGTTACTGGAGAAAACATCAAGCCTTCTTACGTTGGAGATGATGAGGCCTTTCTGCGGAAGGTAATTACACCAATCTACCGAGTAGTTGAAAAGGTAAATGTTTAAATGATAGGTTTATGACATCTTAATAATCTTGACCTTGGATACACCATAGTTGTCTTTTCTATGAATTAGGAAGCGAGTACGAATGCCACTGGCAAGGCTGCTCACGCAGATTGGTCCAACTATGATGATCTAAATGAATATTTTTGTTACCTTAAAACTCAAAGTATATAAATTGAATATTTACTTGGTTGGGGTATCTTAATTTTTTGTGACATTTTGCATATCACTGTTATATAGGTCTCCAGATTGCTTCTATCTCGGCTGGCCAATGCGTGATGATGGAGATTTTTTCAAATCAACTCGTGAAATGGCACACGTAGTACCTTATAGTTTTGTTAGCTGTTTCTATTTCTCCATTGAGCTGATCAATTTTTTCTCCCCACTTTTAATTTCGTTTGCAGGGGAAAAAGGGTCTTTAAGAAAAGCGGGAAACACAAGCAAATCAATTTCACCGCGACTCGAACATTTTGGCACATACCGTTTTGACCGACTCTGGACATTCTTTTTGTTAGCACTCCAATTAAGCAATCTGGCACGAGCTATATTCCTTTCCCTTTTCGTTTCAATTGTTTTCTTTATACTACTATATATTAATCTTACTGTTGTTTTCATTTGTTCGTTGAGTGATAGAAATGCATATATTTGTTTATAGGTGATGATGGCACTGTGCATTGATCTACCATGGTTTTGACCCACTTTTGACCATAGTATTTAGATGATTTTATATTATATTATATATATATATATGTTTTGGAGTATATTTGGCATGTTTTCAGTTTCAGGAGCATTTTGGAGTAAAGTGATGATTTAGGTGCCCTTGTGGGGATTAAAGGAGAGTTTTCCCGAGATGACTATGAAGATCAGACAACAAGGTCGATATCCAGAGATACATATCGATCGATACACATCCAGTGTAATCGATCGACGACGCTTCCGTAGAAGATGACGAATCGAGATACTCCATCGATCGATATCGAGCGTGAAGAACAAGTTTGACTCAGCCGACTTGAAGCCCAAGTTCTCTCAATATTACAAGATTGCCCCTGACGAGTTTTTAACCTAATGGAACTCATATTTATAGTTATGCCTATGTGTTTTGGCTAGACATGCTTTGAATGCTTTGTGTGCTTTGAGTGTACTTTTAGTACATTTGATTGCTTCAATTCTTAATACTCTTAGTTCTTTAATTTATAAAAGTATTATTTTCATCTTACTCTCATTTTCATCATAAGGTTATAGAGTTCTAGATTTAGAAGAATACACAAAGAGATTTTTTGTTCAAAAGAACCAAGGGTTCAATCTTCTAATCTTATGAATTTCTATTATTACCTTGATGCTATGAATCACTTAGCCATGTCTGACTAGATTCACTTGTAAGATTTTGGGTTCAAATAGTTATGAGGGATTAGCCCCAACTATGGATTGTTGAGTTGTGATATTCATTATCCTGATGAACCCTAATGCTTACTCTAGAGTAGCTAACTAGAGTATGATCATGGAAGGATTTAACTTGTTAATCATCATCCTGAAATCATCTAGCATAAGCTGAGATCCTCTAGGGACGAACGAGAGCCGGTCTATGATCTTGGTGAACACATATTCAATTCGATCTGAAGCTATATCGATCGATACTCCTATAGAGTAATCGATCGACGGCAACCTATGTCGTCCGATATCCCTGTCAAAACATCGGTTGATATTGCCGGCAGTCAGATCAATGGACGAGTCTAGATAGCGATTGCTAATAGATTTATCTAAGAGTTGAAGTTCTTTAATATCTTGCAAGCAACTTATAAAGACATCTGTAGCATTATAATTTTGATTGTCTGAATAGAAACCTTGAATCTAACTACTTTCTTTTATTTTTTAAAACCTAAACCAATTCTCTTCAGCAACTCACCATTGCTCACAACTGCAATTTACTTTTAAACTTAATCAACCTAGCATAGTCACTAAGGATTATATCTTTTGTGTTCCTTAGTTCTTTGTGGATTCGATCCCCAAGTACTACAACTGAACCTCTTATTTGAGAGAGTAATTCACTCCTTAGGGTAATTTGAGTGATATCAAATTTGGCGCCGTTTCCGGGGAACTAAGATCGCCATTAGATTTAATTTGATTAGGTCTAGGTTACTTGTTACTGCTTAATCACCTTCTGACACAAAAAAAAATTCTTGTCTTTTTCAGGTACATGCCCAGCAGTACTAAAGCAACAAGAACAACCAACTTGTGTACTCAGGAGACCCCCACAGTTTGGAACGTAGCTTCCGCAGAGACTTCCGTTCCGCATCGATCGACATCAACAACCGTTCGTCGACCGACACTCGCTTACAACAGTCGACCGAGACACCTTCTTCGTCGACCGATACTCGCACCTTTCCATCGATCGACATCAACAACCGTTCGTCGACCGAAATCTTTCATCCGACATCGATCGATATAACTCATTTTAAATCGATTGATACTTACCGGCGAGACATGGTAGCAACTATTATTCTCACTACTGATGAGAATGGAGACCTGCGTGATCAAGATGGTCACCTGCGTAATGCAGCAGGTGAGAAGCTGAATGCTCAGAAGGAGATCATTCCTGAGCAAGAAACTGCACCTATAGACAACATTCAACCTGTAGAAGAGGCTAACAGAGCTAGAACTTTGACTGACTACACTACAAGAAAACACTGTTATAGGACTAGATATTACGACTACATATATGTAGTCTTAATTAACCATCTCATTTACGACTACTTTACGTCTAAAAAGGCATTAGTCGTAAAACAGAGGTTAACTTGCTACCAATTCTACTAGACGTACATTAGTCGTAACATAACGACCAATCGGTGGAAGATATTCTCGGGATGCCGGGACGAGAAGGTTTACGAATCCTCGATCCGGATCGACGCCCCGGCACGTTTTGATAATTATTCCAAATTATTTAATTAAAGTTTAAATTTTAAAAATTTATTTAATATTAATATATATTAATATAAATATATAAATTCTTTCAAATTTTGTAGGTTTTTGACGGATAATGTTTTAGGACAGAGCGTTGGGGATATCATTTGGGTAAATTTTCGGCATGCCCACCCCAACTGGACTCTTACACCGGACCACGTTCGCATTACGTGGTTCAAGTGTTTTGCGGTTAGTTTCTCCATTTTTTAAAAAAAAATAATTCATGCATTGATAGTATATATAAAGTACTAATGTTTTTTAATTTTTCATAAATTTTTTGTAGCAAAAATTGAATTGGTCCATTGGTGTCAACGAGGAGATCAAATCTGGGTTCTACAAAAAGGCGATGCAGCGCCTCAAGAACATTGTTGGAGATTGGAAGGAGGATTGGAGGCTAAGACATGATGATGCAAAACCAACCTACCTCAGCAATGACGTTTGGGTTGGTTTGGTGGCTTTTTGGATGAAGCCTGAGTCAAGGGCGAAGTCTACCAAGTACTCTGCGGTCCGGTTGACCAAGGATGCTCAAGGTAATCCGCCAGTTCCTCATACTTCCGGGCAGACCCCACATGCTGGGAGGGCACTTGAAATTGTAAGTGTTTGAATATTCTTGATTTTATTATTATTTTTTTAATGCAAAATTTAAATTAATTTTTTTTTATATAGGCCACCAAAGAAGGAGCGCCACCATCTCTCGCTCGGCTATACAAGATTATCCACCAGCGTTCTGATGGGACTTTTGTGCATCCTCAAGCAGAGAAGATCTACAACGAGGTAGAGGCTCGGATCGAAGAGGTCCAGACTCAGATGTCGCAACAAAATCTGGATGCTCCACCGGTTCAGCTTTCCACCATCGACCAAGACAAGATTTTCGAGCAGGTAAATTATTTTAATTTTTAACTTTATTAACATTTTTAATTTTTTATTAAATTTCCACATTTTTACTTAATTATATAAATATAATTAGTAAATAAAATTTGATCTTTTGTAGGTTGCTCCGAAGAAAAGGGGACGTATTGTTGGGATCGGGACTGTGAACCATGTCCCGAGGGTGAGGGCCGAACATGCAGCAAGAATAGAAGAAGATTCCTCTCTCCGACGGGAACTAGCAGCTGCCAACAAAGTCATAGACGAGCATAAAGACAAGTTCAAGGCTATGGCGAATATGTTCGATCATATGATGGAGACCTCGAACCCAAACCTGACGGTTGCAAATGCATGGCAAGCTCTACGTCCGAGCTTTAACCCCGACCCACTCCGGAAGAGCAAGTGGATATTGATCGGCGTGCGGAGTAGCACACTTCCGAGTTCTTCCAAGACATGAACCTCAAGAAAACACCTTAGTTTTTTCGGTTTTTTGTATGAATACTTTATATATTATTTTAATCAAATATAATTATATATATATATATATTTTTAAAATTTTTTTTTTTTTTTAAAAAACGAATTAAAAACCAATAATTAAAAAATATCAAATAAAAAAAACGTTTTATTTAAAAATAAAATCAACATTGGTCGTAAACTAGAAGAGATGTTAGACAAGGTTCTTGAGAGTCAGCAGAAACTTCAGATGGACTTCAATGGAAAGATCGACTCTGTCTACACCAACCTCAACACAAAGCTTGATGCTTTAAGCACCTATGTGAAGAAGTTAGAGACTCAGGTGATTCAGACAGGAGAAGCACTAAAGAAGCAAGAAGCTTTAGCAAAAGGAATGGGAGAGTTTGCTATTGACCACCATGTGCATGCCATCATGGATGATGACTTTTGGGAAGAGGTAAAGCATGAGAAGCTGCAATATTCTGACGATGAGAGGGAAATAGACATCGGATTCGACACGTATCGATCGACACCGTTTAACCAAAATTTCATCAATATCACCCCTCGTGAAGAGATCAATAGACTTTGACGCATATCGATCGATGGATTGCGAGGAAACCCCTCAAGAGTGCAGAGCCGTCAAGATTATGTCACATGAAGCCTTCGCAGCACGAGACCCACATCCGCCCTTCCCTTTCCGACTCAACACTGCACCTATCGATCGACAGAGAGACTCACTGTCGATCGACACGAAGCTAGAGATATCGACCGACATACTCCAATTGTCACCCGATATATAGTACCCCAACGTCGAGTACAACTTCCAAAGATAGACGTTGCACGACTTGATGCACTCCGGGAGCAGTCTAAAACTCCCAGTAACCTTCCCACCGCAATCATGAATAGACCCCTGGATATCTTTGAGCCCATGGAGATAGAAAGGAAAATCATGGAAGAGTTCTCAGAAAAAGGAAAGAGAAGATTCCCAAGCCTTATAAAAG